TACGGGATTTTAAAGGTTTCCTGCTCTAGGATTAAAGTAAAGGGCTGCGAGAACAAGGGATATGTATAAAGCTTTCCGTAAAAGGGAAATAGAGGATTTTTTGGGTTGTAAATTCACTATAATATAAGGCAGCAGCATAATGTAATGTAGCAATATACATACTCGTCTCTTTTTGAATTCTGAGTAAAGGCTGAAACATACAGTCATGTACTTATTGTCATTTTCTAGGGTCCATGAGATATTTGCTTTCACACATGGTCCAGAGGTCACGATATATTTTACCAGCAGTTTGTCATGTATAAAGAAGGGAAACGTGGAAACAGTAATGTTAGAGTTCCCGTTTTGCCCAGCCAACCACCTGTTGTTGATAGAATCAATGTGGCTGAGCGGGTTTTTACTTTGAATTCCCTCTATTCAATCGAACCTGCTCTAACGGCCACCTGTATTTAGAGACGTTCACCTGTGTACAAAGACCCACACTTCTCATTTCACCTTTGCGTGTATTTTTTAAAATACAATACATAACACTATAAAATAAGACGACCTCCTTTATTAGGCGGACTCTCGGGTAAGAAGGCCACTTTTCTCCTCGACAAATAGTGGCCGTCTTTGACAATTTCGACTGTATTAGTAACCTTCCGCAAATCAACGTCACTTTGAATAGACTTTCTGAATGTCAAGTTCAGAAATTCGGGGAATTATGAAGACAATGTCGGAGTTGACAATCTATGTCACCAGTTGACAACCATCTTTTACAACAGGTGGACAACAAATTAGATCTACACGTGTTCGCCCCTTCCGCCCAAATTATCAGCAACAACAGCAGCAACAACAGCAGCAACAACAGCAGCAACAATTAGTGCAAAAAAAGGTACATGTAACATCATCAGCAAAGACGAAAACAACAACAACAACAACAAAAGCAACATTAATACAGCAACAACAACAATAACTACAACAACAAACCAAAAAGAGCTATCTATCTATATAAGAAGTATCGAGGTCCCTCAAAAGTCGTTCTACTCGGTAAGAACATCTTCAAACTTGGCCAAAATTTACAATTCACTCCCAAACAGCAGCTGTGCCCACGTTTTCATAAACATTTGAAAGTCAAATACGGGGTACATGGTTGGTTAAAAGCATGCGTACTTTATCCGGGCCTCCGGGGTGACTGTTACATAACTAACCAATGAAGGGGGTTGTTTGTTCCTTTTTTGTGTGTCGGGGGATCTTTACACAATAACGATATTTTGAATATTTGTGAAAATTATTTAAATTTTTATGTACAACTGTTCAAATTTCTGAAATGTGCGACCGAACGTGATGGGCAATTTTGAATAAACGGAACATGAAAATAGGATATTTCTAGTGCTGTGGTGTCAACGTTCCTTTTGTACTGTAGGCGCAGCAGGTGTGTCCTACCTACAACAACGAATGAATGAATCAATCGATAAGAGAAAACAAGGAATGAATGACATGGGTAACAGTTGATGTTGATATCATGATGGCCAGAAACACCGGGGGAGAATCAACACGATGACAAATGACTGAACTCAGAGAAACCAGGGTGTTTTTTTTACTCATCAACCCGTCTCAGGTACACGAATACACTTTTTTTACTAGTAATATTTTGTATGCTGAACACGAATATATGGCCTTCTTTTTTGCCGCAAATCAGTAGTTATTGGGTTATTGATGTTTGAAAACAGAACTAGATCTATATTACCGTAGGACCAATAGCGTAGTATTATTTGTCTTGTTTTTAATAACTTGGTAGTTTCAGGGGGGCAAGCCCCCCCCCCCCTGCATT